AACTAATTAATGGATGGCTGAAGAATCCCTTTTAGGCCTATGGCACAAAGAAGATAATGAGGAGAAGGAAGGCACCCATGCTGCCAGACGGGCAGCAAGAACACTTCAAGGCTAAGATAAGCGAAAGACAAAAGAAGAACAACCGCAAAAACAGAAGCTGGGTATGGAAAACCCCAAAGCACTGAAACAAAGGATGCCAGTCCCTATAAAAGAACACTTTGAAAATGCCAAGTTGGGTGAGTCTCTTTCTCTACTGCTGTTTCATCGGAGCACAGATGCATCTGTTCACCCTGCTCCAGCTGTTGTCTTCAAATCTGCTATCATCAAATCATCATCTTATTTACTCAATAAGCCTGGGTTGGCCACCCTGGGCTGATATTGAGCTACTATTGCTGGTAACTATATCTGGTGTATGTGTGGATGAAGTTTTTTTGTGTATGTGTATGATGATTTGTGTGTGTTTGTATGAACGGTGTGCCCAAACCTCTATGTCTAACTCATGATCAATAAACATGGCACCTTGCTTTATAAAGTCTCGCTCATGATTTGAGCAATTGGCAATTTGAGTAACATCGGGTCCAGCCCCTTCACCACATGTGCAGGAAAGACTACTGGGGTCAGATGACCCCAGCAAGGTAGGCATCAACATGCTTTTTGAAGATCACCAGGGTGGGGGACTGTACCACCTCTGCGGGGAGCCTGTCCCAAACCCTCAGTACTCGACTTATAAAGACGTTTTTCCTTATGTCTAGCTTGAAGCAATCTTCAATCAGTTTGTGCCCATTATTTCTTGTCCTCCCCTGGTGGGGCTTGGTAAATAGATGCTCCCCCAGGCCCAGATGTATGCCCCTGATATACTTACAGATCTGTGATATACTTCCACTCTGTGTACACCAGATCTTAGCAATGAAACAATGCATCCACCTGAGTGGACTCCAGTAAGCACACCAAGGCCAGGGAGACAAAGAGTAGCACTGAGTCACTCTGAAGCAGATACATTTGGGAGAGTTAGTGTGTGTGGAGCAGGGTGTCATCATGGCCACCCTCCCAGGCATGGCATGGAGCCGCTGTAGACAAGCCTCACTGAGTAAGCTGCTTCTGTTGTCCATAAGCTTCTTTGAAGGGAACCCAAACTTCTCTTATTTGGACATAAACCTATCTTTGCTTTGAACAATCTCAAGCTTTTCGGTATTCGCAGCTCCTGCCTCCTCCCCAAAACCCAGTTGCATGTCTAATCTATTATTTACAAGGAAAGAAGTTACTTCATCTCAATGGATCTCAGTTTTTCAGATAGAAAATGGCCCAATTGCTGTTTCCTGTCTTCCTTTCTGTCTATTTAGACTGTAAATTTCTCAAGCCGAGGAATATGTCTTCTTATATATGTACAGAGTGCATGGTGTAATTGGGCTGCAGTTTCAATTGGGGTTCTCTAGGCACTGACATGTGTGCCATAGTATAAGAAATACAGTAAATCAGAACTCTGAAATACAACACTTGCAATATTAATATCACCTAGCGTAGCTATGATTGGGTAGAAGCAGGGGGGGGAATACCACCCTCCAGAATTTGTGGTGGGACAAACAGAAGGACAGGTCTAGGAGGCTGAAAGTAGCACTCCTCCCTGACCAAAAATGATGGGACTGTTAAGCAAAAAGAAATTCTTGATTGCTGCTGGTGAGGGTAGTTGTGGCTCTAAAACCAAGTTGGGAGATTAGCAAAGGGGTCATCTGGGTGTAAAAGGGGCTGCCAGCTAATCTCAGAGGAGGAGTTGAAAAATGTGCTTTTGGCACCGGGGCAGTTTGGTTTGCGTGCTGGTCAGAGGGTACAAGAGTAGCAGCTGCTGTGGTGGGGATACAAAGAAGTCTGGAGCCAACAGGACAGTCCAGGCTAATGTAGCAGTCACAAGAACTGGAATGAACTACTCAGCAGGACCATAAAAAAATATTCTGAAACCATGTGACACAAAGCTTTGACTAGGAGATAGGGTTGGCTATATTGAGTCAAAGGTTATAACGTATGTGTGAAAGGGCTACATTGTCATGTACCTAATTCCTGTTGGGGATCTTTTTGTAGTTCCCATCTGGGTAAAGGTATTATTCTGTTGTGTGGTCATCATTTCTGGAGATTTACTCCTGCCTCCTTGAGAAAAGTGTGTGGGTGTGGGTGGTGGGGGTGGTATGTGCATGCTTAGTCAGAGGCACATAACTAAGGGATTGGGGGTTCCTTTTTCACAAGGTACTTTTGCCTATCATTATGAAGTATCATAAATATGATGCTTTCAAAGTGATAAATTATAGAACAATTTTTAAGGTTATCTGACATTTCCCATTATAAGAAATGTACTGAGTTGCAACATGCCTTATCCCTTCGCCCAATTCTAAGTATTTGGGCTGAAATTCCCTGTTTCCATTAGGGTGCAATTTTGTTGTTGTTGTTTGGTCAATATGATTTTCATTTTCATCCCTGAAAGTGAGGTAAGGGAAAAAGGGTTTTGTCCATTTAAAAAAAAAAATGTTCCAGTGACCATTTCTGTAAACCTCTGTCCCCCTTACATTGGACTGATGACTTGCCATATGACAGGATCTAAATTCTGATACTCTTACCCATATTAAATAGCCCATTGCTTGACAAGTCACAATTTGTTTGAATGGGGCTACCTTCAAAGAAAAGGTCTACACAATGCAAAGGAGGATAGCAGTCTAGCCTTTACAGCTTTAGCTGTGCTTGCAGCTGTAAGTCATAAGTATTATTATTATTTAAAGAGGGGACAGAATAACTCTCTTTCAAGACTTTGTTGAAAATCTTTAATATCAAGGATCTTGGACCCTGAGGCAAGTATGTGAGCTTTTGTATTTCTATTCTATTTACCATACCTCAGCTCAAATACACTGCAATGGTGTCTGGAGAGTCTGCACTTGAATAATTGTGACATTTTTCCCTTTAAGAGGAACAATTGGTTGTACTTGTTTAATGTTGGGTAAAGAGTCATGAATCCCAATAAGGCCATGAATACATTTATTATTAATTTTTTGTTCATTCATTTTTAATTTTCTGTCAGACAAAATCAAAGGCTGAATCAGTGACTTCAATGCGTTCTACCTTAACATACTGGCTTTTAACAAGGTATTTATTTATTCTGGACATCACTGAGAAATCAAAGGTACTGAGATCAGGAGTATCAAAACTCTCTGGTGCATTCATATAAACCGTAGTCACATCATTATGTAGGTTTATGGTTCATGGCTATGACTGTTTAATGTTGTCTTGTTTTCAACTTTTTCAAGTTCAAGCACATTTTGAAAGTGTGTAAAACCCTGGTTGAGGGGAAGTGCCAAAATGCTTCTATTTTGTTTTTAAAACCAGAGCAATTAGAAATAGCACAGAGCTTGCAGAGTCCTACTAGTCCAGAATAAGGTGGTTCATTGCATATAAGCAGAGTATGGGGAGACGTAATTAGTAGGGCTGTGCAAAGCTTCAGTCGCTGATACAATTTGGAGAAGATTTGGCCGTATTCGGAGGCTGACTCTCCAAATCTGAATTGAATCAGGAGGCCCATTAATCTCTCTGAATTGAATCAGAAGCTTCTGAATCGATTTGGAGAGATTCGATGATTCGGCCATAGTCACAACTTTGTTTTTTCTATTTACCTCAAGGTACCGCATTTGGCTCATGAATGCTGAGATGGTGGGGTGGATGGAGCATCCCACGGGAGCGTGGGCTCAGCGGCAGACCCAGAAGTGCACCAGAAGTACTTTTAATCCACTTCTGGGTCCACCACAGAGCATGCAGGGGACTACCCTGGCCCCATGGCTCAGTGACTGGTGCCTCCTGGGTCGGGGGAGAACCTGCCCCCCCCCCCCCCGCACCCAATAGCCAAGACAGGGGAAGGGGGGGTCCCCTGCATGCTCGGCAGTGGACCCCCCCGCGCTCCTGTGGGACGCTTCATTTGCCCCACCATCTCAGCATTCACGAGCCACGTCTGGTACCTCGAGGTACGTAGAAAAAATATATAAAGCTGTGTCTATGACCAAATTGCTGATTCTCCGAATCAGAGTTAAATCTTCAGATTCAGCCAAATTGATTGGGGACAGTGATCTGAATCAGCAAATGGATTCACTGTCCCCCAAATTGGGCTGAATCCAAATTCAGATTGAATACTGCCCACTAGTAACCCTAGTAATTAGTGTCTATGAGCCTCCACTAAGGGAAACTTGATGCAGTAGTCATCATATATGTCCCCTAAATGCAAGAGTAAGTAATAGATCTGGTTTACATGGAGTTTTTTACACATGGTATAAAATCCTGGTTTCATTCAAATTGATGGCAGAACTCCTGTAAACTTCACTATGGCAAGGCTTTCTCCCATAGCCCAGGTTTGGACATTATACTTGTACTGGTATATGTGATCAGAAGCTGGTCTATACCCATAACAGAACAGAAGTCAGCCTACATAGACTGGTTTAAAAATGGCAGAACCTGGTATAAGATTTCCCTCCCACACCTCTCAAAGCACAAATATGTGTTATGTTTGCTACCGATATAAATTATGCCGCTTACAGGAAAATGTGTAATTTAGGTCAATTCATCCTCAGGCTTTTTGAATGTCTTTACCTAGCCATAGTGTACACAATGGATAATCCTATTCCAATAAATGTTGCAGGTTTGTTATTAATTTAATATAAGCAGTAGATGGAAAGAAATGGGAATTTATGGGGAGGGAATTGTGCAGGCAGGAGGTCCTTGGGACACTAGTCCTGGATTCTGTATGTCCTGATAAACTAGTGAAAGTTAGCATGTTTATCTAAAAAAAGGCAAAACTCTTAACTTGCAACTATAACTAGTTGACATAATATTTACATTCATATTATCAATGAGAGTTAACAAAGGATTTCTTCACAGATCAATGGTTCTTACGCAGGTGAAAAAATTATCGTCTGCCCAGTCTTGCTAGCAAAAGTTTTCTCCATTCTTTTTCCTGTTCCTTTTTGTTCCTCCTCTAGGATCCTCATCTCCCAGACCAGAACTCCAAAGCAGAGATCACAGCCCTGACATTTAAAGCTTCAAGATTCTCATATTTCAAGCATATAATCTGAATTACACAATTTTCCTCGTCTTGTACCTAGAATTCTTGCTATAGCTTTAGTATAACTTGCAGTATTATAAATGCGAGTCACTCGGTAATCTGTAATATTCAAGCAATGCTTTGCTTTAATGCTCTGTGTGTTGAATAAAACAGCAAGTGACTATTGGAAAACATTTAGCTGTGTTTCTGGTTCACTGTCTCATTGTGACGCTGATCAGAACACTATATTAAAAAAAAAAAAAAAGAAATATTGTACGAGATGCCATAAAGTTTTATGATGCAATTATTACAGATATAATTGTTCAAGGTTGTAGAGGTCTATAGATGTCTCGCCGTTCATAGACCAATGCCCTTTTATGCTCCTTTTTTATAGTTAATGCAATGCCTCATTTAATAATTTAAAAAATAATTTATTGGAGTTAAATTGCTTTTTCAGAAGGCACAATCTTATCATTCTCATTTTTTATAAGAATCTCATTTTAATTTGTTTGCTGTGCCATTCTAACATGAATTTAGGAATTTAATGGAGTGAGAATTGAAGGCTGATGGCATCAATGAAATTATTAATTTGGTAAGCGAAAGATTTATTTGGTTGATTTAGATAGAATTTTCAATAGTCAATTATCTTTGGACTCTATTAAAGAATGAAGCCCCAGACAAATAACAGTTCTCATTCAAGGTTCCCCAGGATGAATTGGAAAAGACATCTTCATTATTGCTATTGATGTTAACGTGCAAATCACTTACCGTTAATAATCCCAATGGACAGATAGAGTCTTTATTTTTACCCTTAAGAAGCTAGGTACTAAACCCTAAAAGTGTTATCCTAACAAATGAATATTACCCGGAGATAGCAGGCTTAGCCATGCAGAATATTTTAACAGTTTACTTTTATCCATACCAAGTCCCAGTAGAATAGTTTAGCAGAGGAAGCATGTCTTTAAGTGTGTCTAATTTTTGTTTTTACCTTTTTTGTGAAACTGGCAGTATTGAAATATAAAGAGGTTATCTGCAAAAATAGGCATATGCATGGGGAAAAATGTCTGTTTCCTACTCCATTTTAAATGCTTTTACTTCTTAGGTTTTAGATAATTTCCCCATGAAAATCATGTCTCACAAGTTTGGTGTTTTAAAAGAATTACTTTAACAGTATCTTGTTTGCCAATACAGATATTTTATTGAAAGCCACTTTTTCCTGTTTAAATAGCAAGCAATGATACAGCAATATAGCCTAGTGAATGGGTCATAATTTATAGTTTGTTTGAAACCAGAATAATTTACATATCTATAATCCAGTAAGAACACATTTCCAGGTGGTGCTACAGTTGATAACAGTAAATGGAGGAGAAAGTGCTCTGTATTCAGCATTAATCTGTCAGTGTCAAAGGCAACTTTGGTGCATGCTGAAGTCAAAATGTGAATTTTGCCCCAGTTGAACCTTGAAAATCATGCAGTATAAAATGAATTGCACAAAAAATAGAGATAGTGCAATATTAGTTTCATTGAACCCATGAATACTAATAAGTCTTGCCAAATCGCCTAACCATCAAACCCAGGTGAAAGTTGGATATTAACTAAATTATTGAATACTCTCATTGTGGCATAAGAATGGAAACATTGGCTGTAGAGAAGTTGCAGAGCTTCTGAGTATGCATTTTTCATAAGTGATGTGACAGCAGAATCAGGTTACAAACCACTTCTTTCCCTGGGTGATGGCCCAGCCTATGGTCTTGCACTGATACAAGGCTAATCACAAATGCTGGCAACATGGATATAGGCTTCATGCGGGGGGGGGTGTCTTTTGGTTTTTTCTAGCATATGCTCCTGTTTTCTCCAGCCATTGTTTAAAATAAGTTTGAGAAAAACGATCTACCAATGTCTATTTCAAAAGGACAAAACAGACTGAAGGAAGAAGTTAAATGAACTGAGGGGCACACATTGCTTTTAAACTGGGGCATGCTAGTCAAAGCAAGTCATTGTATTAGCAGGAGAAATGCAATGCATGCTTTGCAGTGTTTGGTTAATCCAGTGCCTTCAGAGCTCTAGAACTGCTTCACTTCCTACTAGAAGCATAACAGGGCAGCCCCATGCCCTGGGTAATGGCTCTGCTTCGGGCAATTTTTTTATGCCCTCTCCTGAAGGCAGGACCCAGGGCTGCCCTCACTTTCTGTCCATAGGTTCTCCCTTATATTCTCAGCAAACCCTGGAATGGGGTTCATTACAATTCAGAAGCATGTATCTATATCTGCTTAGCTCCCTCAATGTATCATGTAAGGCATGAATATAAATCAAGAAAAAATGTGTATTACCAAAGCACATGACAAGGCTGAGGACAGACATGCATGTGTACATGTCAACAACATGCAAACTAGTCTGTGCTGTTAATGTTACCTTCCCACTCAACACAACCACCCCCCCGCTGATTCTGTTTGCTTCACCCATCTGGCATGTCTCATATTTTAGACTGTAAGCACTTTGGGAGTGTGGCTACTTTTCTCTGTCTCTGTATTTCCTAATTCAGTTGGCCTTTAACTGGTTGAGGCCTCTAGATGCTACTGTAATGTAAATAATCAGCAGTAGCAAGGTTGTGGGTCAGATGTGGTTACCAATTACAACAAAGTTTTTGCTAGCAATGTACCAAAAGTTCTTGGACTTTGCAAGTGAAGGCAACATCCTTGTAAATTTCTCAGCTTTCGCCCTTTCTTAAATTAATCGGACATATCTGGGAATCCATCACTGCTTCCCTGGCTCTCTGGTAACCCAGCCTACACTTGCAAGTGACATGTTTGCAAACCAGATTTTTGGGTTTTGTACCAAGATGGTACAACACCTGTACTCAGTAGTAAAGCTGGCAGGGTGCGAGAGGGGCACCAGCCCTAGGTGCCAGAATGGTACCTACCTCCCATTCAGAGTCTTTGCTGCGTTAGGAGCAGCCCCATGCCACCCATCTGTAGAAGCTGGCTGTGGGGATAGGCCAAGAGCGGTGGAGGCCTTTGAGCCCCTGGGGCAAGTAAGACCCTTCTTTTCTCTTCCCCTCATCCCTGGTGTTTTCCAGTCCTCTCTCCGCCAAGGGAATTTTTGCCCAGGGTGCCAAACTATGCCTATGCCAGTACCACAGCTGAAGTTAAGATCTTTGGCAATTTATTCCTAGGTGAAATGAATCCATACCCCATTATTTCAGTAGAAATTTTCCACCCATTTCAATAGCCTTAGTTTTCAAGCTCTAAAAATGTACAATATACCATAGAGAGTCCATCATCAGTATGTAGTAAGAGCCTGGCTAACTTAAATTCACAGCTCTGTTCATCCTTAGCATTAGTATTGCCAACAAGACTGGTTGAAGTAAAAATGTGGTTTGTTAATGGAAGTGGCCTAGGAGAGAACGCGTGATATATGTATTTTTTTATTATTATTAAAGTTTCAGCATTTTGCTGTTCAGTTCCAGGTCAGAGGTCAACATTAAGTGAAAGTTGTATGTCTTGCTGCAGCTCTTAGCTCTTTCTGAATTTAGAGGTTATAGCTTAATCCCTTATGTACAGCCCTCCACCTCTCTGTACTACATATAATTTGTACAACTGGATACAGGTGATATTCTCTGCTCAGGAGACATCCAGAGCAGAGCTAGTATGAAGACTGAATTTCTTTTTTATTCCTGCAGACAATGCCTCTTAGATCAAAGAGGGCATTATTTCCAGGGTAGTGAGAGGAAGCTTAAGTGACTGTCTACATCATATCTGACCTTTGTATAAAAGCCTTCAGTTTCAGGTAGTTCTACGCTGTCAAGTTTCACAAGGAGAAATATTCACATGACTTGAAGAGTAAAATTAAAGACAGAAATCTACATTTAAGCCATATTAAAATTGTGAAAGTAACTCTCAAAAGCAAGAAGGTTCACTCTTAGCTCAATACAATTCTACTATTTTTCTCCCTTCAATACTGTCTGAATTAATGATGGACTCTCTCTAGCTTTGGAGAGGTATAAAAAGCATGCATTTTTGGAATTAAACCATCTTTTGAAATGCTGGATAAAAGATGTCAAATGCTGATATTCTTATATGAAATTTAATTGGCATTAAAAAGTGCAATTGTAATTCTACTTTTGTCCCTCTCAACCCTATTACCTTTAAAATAATTTACAGAGCCCTATAATGCCATTGTTAAGTAGATGCCTTCATTCTGTGATCAAACAAAACTAAGTCATAATTATTCTTGCCATTTTGTAACACAACACAGTAAGAAAAGATACTTGGAACTGAATCACAAACCAAAAATCAAACATAACACATGTAAGTATGAACAGCTACATGAAATAACTACTACTTTTTAAAATATAGGCATAATTAAGTCATTTGATTACAAAGCAATAATTGGTCAATGTGAGGGGACAAAAAGAATAAAAATGCTAAAATGCCATAGAAATACACTTTGTCTGTGTCAATACTATTATCATACTGAAAGTAAAATAACTGGTGAATTATGGGCCAGATAAATAGTTACTTACATATCTAATGGTGAGATGTATTTCCAATGAGATATAGAAAATTGCCTAAGCAATTCTAGTGCTCAGCTTCTACTGAAAGTCAATTAGACTCACCCTCAAGCTTAACTGATACCCTTTTGTATTTCCCTGCATATTATATCTAAATCTCTCAATCTTACCCATACAAATGCCTAAAAACGATGGAATCACATAGTGACAGGGAGGAAGAGGGAAATTTTGAGAAGGTTTATTTGGGCTTTTTTTTTAGATGCTATGCTACAATTTTATATAAGATTATACTGGACAAAATATCATTTCAAATCCCAAATATTTGGATAGGCACATGACATTAAACTGGTGCCTGGCTTAGCTGTTTGACATAAGCATCCATTTGGAGTATGGTGGGGGACACCTGTCCCATTCCTGTTTCCACACTTTTTAAAGGCACTGAGCAACTGCATAGTTGCTGTATGAGTACCCT